GGACCCAGTACTCCTGATTCCAGGTCACTTGATCACTGTGAAAGCCTCTGATTGGATATCACAGTGATCAGTCACTGTGAAGCTTGCCTCCCTTGTTTTTTCTCTCTGAATGGAGGAGAGAGATACATTGTCCTTTCAGAGAGAGAAAAAATGTTAAAAAAATATATATATAATAATAATTAAAAAAAAAATAATAATAAATAAATAAAAATACCTAGATCAAGGTTTAATCTAGGTCAGTGCCAGGGTTAATGTTTGGGTCAAGGTCAGTGTCAAAGGTCAGGGTCAGTATTTTCTTTTAATTTTTAAATTAGTAGCAGTGTCAGTTAGTGGCAGGATTAAGAAAACAAAACAAAATGTGCACTATTGTTTCTGGACCGTATTACGGGTACAAACAACTAAAATAAACATATGTGGTATTGCTAATAATAATAATCCTCTCCTTTCCACTGAAAGCTGCAAGCACACAATCCTTCAGGATGGAGAGTGGGGGAAGGATCTGGTAAATATGTCACATTCAGGGGCGGACTGACCATTTGGAAACTCGGGCACTGTCTGAGGGCCCGGGGTCAGTAGGGGGCTCCATGAGATGCCCCTGGTACCCTTTTTATAGGCTTTTTTGAGTTTGGCCAAGGACACAGGGGCCCCATGATCCCCTATTGCCCGGGGGCCCCATGAGTTGTCAGTCTGCCCCTGGTCACATTCCTTCCTTTTTTGAATGAACAAAATGAGTGATTGGTACTGATCAGTCACTGTGTTAATTCATAACTGAAACATAGTAAACTATGGGGGTTTTTTTTTTTGGAGGGGGGCCCTGTCAGGTTGGCTGTATTGGGACCCATGGTTTCTAACAGCAGCCCTGCCTGCAGGGGCCCCTGAGAGCTGCACAATATTAAAGTATAACTAAAGGCAAATCTTTTTTTTTTGTTTTGGATAGAGTTGAAGATGAATTAGAATCCTTGTCAGTTTTTATTGCTCTCTGTGCCCCCATTAAAAGATAAGTTCACCTTTCGTAACGTTACACTCATATTCAGGGTGTAACGTGTTACAATTGGACTGCCCCAGCAGTTGTTGCAGCTGTTAGTTTGTAGTTTTCAGTGAACTACCACGGCACGCCACAGCCGTCCTGTCAGTAAGTATACGAGATGTATGAGGAAGCAGAGATACATTGACAGGTCACAGGGAGATCTGCATGGCACCAGCGATCTGCTGATCTCTGGTGCAATGCTTTAGGCTCCAGAAATAAAAAATATTAAATGCACATTTTTTACCTGCAAAAAATATTATTTATTCTTTTTTGTTAAAAGGTGAACTTATCCTTTGACCTCTTTACGCAGGCCTCCCGACCCTTTAAGGGGTTTCAGATACCGGGAGGCAGGGCGTGGTTTTAGGGTCATGTGACCGCCGTGATTCGCTGTCACATGATCATAAAAGGTCCCGATCGCAAGGGGAGATCAGGACCTTTCCGTGAGACACCGACATATGTGCTGGGAGCGCACAGGACTGGAGAGGACTGCCGATAACCGGCATTTCCTGTTTACATGTGATCAGCTGTGATTGGACACCGTTGATCACATGGTAGAGTTGATCCACCGCGTCCCCCTGTCTCCACCCTGTGATCCACCGCGTGCTCCCACCATGTCTGTCATTTTTCCCAATACAGTGGGAGGGAAGCGGTTAAATGACCGCAGGTAGGGCAGTGGGGCTCTAGGATGTCTGCTTTTAGAAAATATATATTTTTGGGGGGTTTCTGTAATCTTCAGGCCTGAAGGCATTGTTTTAATCGTGTGCAAAAATGAAAATACTCGAGAAAGAAACGGGGGGGGGGGGGAGAGAAAAAGAGAAAGAGGAGAGAGGGAAAGAGAAAGAGGGAGAGAGAGGGAGGGGAAGAGAGAGAGGGGTCGGGGGGGAAGAGGGAGAGTGAATGAGAGAGGGGGGAGGAGAGGGAAGGGGGAGGGAGAGGGAAAGAGACAGGGGGAGAGAGAGGGGAGGAGAGGGAAAGAAAGAGGGAGAGGGGGAGAGAGAGGGGAGGAGAGAGAGAGGGGGGGAGGGAGAGGGGGGAGATGGAGGGGGGGGGGAGAGAGAGGGGGGGAAGAGACAGGGGGAGAGAGAGAGGGAAAGAAAGTGGGAGAGGAGGGGGGAGAGGGGAAAAAGGGGAGGAGAGGGAGGGAGAAAGAGGGGGGAGAGGGGGGAAAGGGGTAGAGACAGGGGGGAGAGAGGGAAAGAAAGAGGGAGAGGAGGGGGTGAGAGAAAGGGAAAGAGGGGAGGAGAGATAGGGGGGAGAGAGAGAGGGAGGGAGAGAGAAAAAGAGGGGGGAGATAGAGGGGGAAGAGAGAGGGGGGGAGATGGAGGGGGGTGGAGAGAAAGGGGAGAGGGGGGGAGAGAGAGGGGGAGAGGGAAAGAGGGGAGGAGAGATAGGGGGGAAAGAAAGAGGAAGGGAGAGAGAGAGAGGGGGGGGAGAGAGGGGGGGGTGGAGAAAGGGGGAGAGAGAGGGGGGAAGGGACAGGGGGAGGGAGGGAAAGAAAGAGGGAGAGAAGAGGTGGGGGGGGGGGGCAGAAAGGGAAAGAGGGGAGAGAGAGACAGGGGGGAGAGAGAGGGAGGGAGAGAGAAAGAGGGGGGAGATAGAGGGGGAAGAGAGAGAGGGGGAGGTGGAGGGGGGTGGAGGAGAGAAGGGGAGAGACAGGGGGAGAGAGAGAGAGAGGGAAAGAAAGTGGGAGAGGAGGGGGGAGAGAGAGGAAAGGGAAAGAGAGATAGGGGGGGAGAGAAAGAGGAAGGGAGAGAGAGGGGGGGAGAGAGAGGGGGTGGAGAAAGGGGGAGAGAGAGAGGGGGGGAAGAGACAGGGGGAGAGGGGGAAAGAAAGAGGGAGAGAAGGGGGGGACAGAAAGGGAAAGAGGGGAGGAGAGATAGGGGGGAGAGAGAGGGAGGGAGAGAGAAAAAGGACAGAGAGAAGGAGGCAGGTGACTGCCATGAGTAGGAGTCAGGATTTATGGTCGGCTCTGTACTCTCTCCCCAGGACACTGATCACCTCTAGCAGACACACAGCTTGTCCTCTCCCCAGCACTAGGTGGCGCCTCTCCGGTGTCGGGGCCATGCCATGTCACGGCGTTCGGTTGTATTGTGTGTATTAGGGATCTGCGATGTAGTTGCCCCCTGATGGTGTCGGGGATGGATGAGCGGCGATAAATCAGACTGCACTGAGATCAGGCTGCTGCCCTGTCCATGTGACGGCTCCGGGCAGGGAAGGGTTAGTGGTGGCGGTGTCCCCTCCCTGTATTCTCTCTCCATACGGAAGTGCTGACAATGAGATCGGAGCTGGGAGCCCCTAACATCTGATCGGAGCAGAGATGTCAGGAGGGGGGGACAAATGGAGGGCCACCCTGCGATTCTACTACTGCATCAAATTCTCCCTGTCCTTCTACTCCACACTGTTCTCGGTGAGTGGATGGGGGGGGGAGCGGTGGATGGATGGGGGGGAGGGGACACAAAGGGGTCACCATACACATGGCTGCTGTGCTGATGATGCATCCGTCCCTCTATATATCATGGTGTGTGGGCTCCTGTCTGTCATGGTGTGTGGATGTCAATGCAATGATGGGGTCTCCCATTCTCTGTCTATGTGGATGGTGGATCCTTTGTAGTGTGATGATGTGGCCTGTCTTTGTTGCTGTGTGCCAGCAGTGCCCAGGCATTGAGGGTTCCTTCACACCGCCTCCATCATCCACCAGCACAGAGGCACATAGGAAGCCATTGCCTGTTCCTGCGCCCTGAGTGCACCATACCTGTACGGAGGTGTAAAAATGCGCCATGTCTGACTGTTTTTCAGCGCAACACTCCACATTGTACCAGTGATCGGCAACACAGAGAGCTAAATGAAGGGGCTTTTTTTTGTTACCCTTAACCCCTTCCCCTATCCATCGCCGGTGGTCCCTGTAAGTGGTTTTATATGCGCGGGGGCAGGATGCTCTGTTTGATTGCAAGACCGCCGTAAGGTGTCGCAGTGGTCACATGATCAGGAGCCCTTCCCACTGCCTCCCATTCATAATGAGGCTGAGAAGGGGAGATTTATCAAAACTGGAGCAATGGTGCATGGCAACCAATCAGATTCTAGCTTTCATTTTCAAAGCTTGAAGTGTATGTTCAAATTTTTACAAAAAATGAAAAGGAAAACTAACATCCTACAACCCGTTCCCCGACCCTCTTCGCCGGTCCCCAGTACTTACCTTTGTGGGTGATGAGCTGTCAGTGTCCATGCAGCAGATGTAGCAGTCTGGAGATTTGAAAGCCCCACCCTTCTTCCTCTTCTATTAGGTTGTCCAGGATGGATTAGAGCAATTCTGATTGGTCAAAGTAGTCACGAGGATAACAGGAGCATGCCCTTCTAATAGACCCCGATGTCTCCATAAAGAGTACCTGTCACTGCCCAACGCTATCACAAGGAGCTTGTTCACCCCTTGTGATAGCAATAAAGTTTGTTACCCCAACATTTGCTATTCTTGATATGTGCCGTCTGCACCATGTACTTGTGTTAAAGAGAAGGCTGTTCTGTTTGTGTGAAATCCCTGGTGTTCCTGCCAGTTCCTCTGCTTTCCTATTAACAACTGGCTATACTAGGCATAGAGCACATCTGTCCCAGTGGGGTCAGTTATCTGGCTGTGCTGGGAGAACAGCCTGTCTGCCCTCCAAATGTCAGACTTGTGCTGACACCCCCTCTGCACAGCCATTTACTAGGAAAATCAGTGTACTACTGTTTCTATGCCACTTGCTGACAACTCATTTACAACTCCAGGTGTATATAATTTTTTTAAATTTATACAAAAATGTTTTGCCTTTCATTTCTATTTTAAACTGATTGGGTTTTGTTACAAGGTGAGTGTCTATATATACATTAAATGAAAAAAGTGTTCAATAAAAAAATAGAAAAACTGTTAAAAGCACTCTCGTCCCCTGTGTTCGCATGCAAAATGCTCATGTAGGTCCCGCGCACATATGTAAATGTTGATTGCACCACATGTGTGGTATCACCGCAAATGTCAGTGGGAACTATAATTCTAGCATCATAGCTCACAAAATTTTACAAAACCCAGAACCCTGCATCCACTATATCTGGTCTCCCACAGTACACAGAACATGGAAGTGCAATGATTTTAGTAAATATAAAGTGCTAAATATCTTTTCTCATCAGCAGTTAGAGCAGTCTTGTGACTTCTATCAGTGTCCAGCAGAGCACTGGTTAAAGCTTGTAGGAGGAGTTTTCATTTTGCTCTAGAAGGCTGCAGAACCCCTGACCTCTGGACAGTGCTGATTGGTCCTGTGCTGATCATGTGCACTCTCCAAAGAAAAAACAAATCTGTAGCAATACACACAGCAAACTGAGTATGTGCAGAGTGTCTCCACACACTATGTCTTATCAGGAGATAAGAGGGGGACACTGGAAGAAGGGGAGGATCAGAGAAGTCAAGATCAAACAGCATTTTTACACAATGCAGAGGATTAACTCCTTAGGTTCCACAGTGAGTATAACAAGGATGCTTTACTGAAAATACAGGCTGATTTTACTGTTGTGGGCCTAGTAACACTTTAACTCTAAACTGGTAGCCTGTAAAGTCTTTAAAGCATCACCTAATCACAATTTTAGGTACCGTAGTTTGTTGTGATTTCAAAGGCATGCCCAATTTTAAATCTTGGCATGTGTGGTATCTATTTACACGACACATCATCTATTATAATGTATCAAATAAATGGGCATTACATTGTGTTTATGTGCATTAACATTCATTTAAAGTGTTACCAAACCCACAACAGTAAAATCATTCAGTATATGCAGTAAAGCATTACTTCTTATAGTCACTGTGGAACCTGATAGGTTAATCCTCTGCATTGTGTAAAAATGCTGTTTGATCCTGACTTCTCTGATCCTCCCCTTCTTCCAGTGCCTCCTCTTATCTCCTGATAAAACATATCGTGTGGAGACACTGTGCACATGCTCAGTTTGGTGTGTATTGCTAGAGAAAGTTTTTTTTCTTTTTTGGGAGAGTGCATGTAATCAGCACAGGGCCAATCAGCACTGTCCAGACAGAGGTCAGGGGTTCTGCATCCTCCTAGAGCAGAATGAAAACTTCTCCTACAAGCTTTAACCAGTGCTCTGCTGAACATTGATAGAAGTCACAAGACTGCTCTAACTGCTGATGAGAAAAGGTATTTAGCAGTTTATATTTACTAAAATAATTGCATTTCCATGTTCTGTGAACTGTGGGAGGCTAGATATAGTGACTGCAGGGTCCTGGGTTTAGGAACACTTTACGTTTATTTTTTTTCCTGAAAATTTGATAAGCAGCGAAAATATCATGTGAAATGCAACAGCTACCATTTTATTTTCCAGTGCCTCTGCTTTCACAAAATATATAATGTTTGGGGGTTCTAATTTTAACATATATGTGAAAAACTTCAAAATTGCCCTGGTAGGCAAGTGGTTAAATAGCAGAGGCGGGAGGTTTCAGTGGAGCAAAGTCAGTTTTTGAAGCGAAAGCCTACTTTCAGTTTCACTTTATTAGAATGTTTCTTTTTTTTTTAAATTTTGAGATATACGTTCATTTGATGAAATAATGTGATCAGTCTGTGTTAGTCTGCATTCTCACGTGCGTTCACACTTGGTACAATGATTGACATGTGCATTCATTATAAAAGGCACCCTTATGCACATACAGTACATGGCAGACCAAGCACACCTGCCAATGTAAAGAAAAAAAAAAGAGGCAGGTAGGTTTATTCGGCTTGTGAATGCATGTTGAGGGTTCTCTGAAAATGAAAAGGTATGCTCAATGTAACGTGCGTCAACATGCCAAAATATGTGCTTTATTGCAAGCATGGAAATGTACACTAATATAAATGGGACTTTGTCTTTGTTCCTATTTGTGATACTATTTGTAATTTAAAGTGGTTTTAAAGGCTGAAGGTTTTTATCTTCGTGCATTTTATATTCTATGCATGAAGGTAAAAAACCTTCTGTGTACAGCTCCCCTCCCCCAAATACAGTGGGGATTGAACGTTTGGGCACCCCAGCTAAAAATTTGTATTAATGTGCATAAAGAAGCCAAGGAAAGATGGAAAAATCTCCAAAAGGCATCAAATTACAGATTAGACATTCTTATAATATGTCAACAAAAGTTAGATTTTATTTCCATCATTTACACTTTCAAAATAACAGAAAACAAAAAAATGGCGTCTGCAAAAGTTTGGGCACCCTGCAGAGTTAATATCTTGTACTGCCCCCTTTGGCAAGTATCACAGCTTGTAAACGCTTTTTGTAGCCAGCCAAGAGTCTTTCAATTCTTGTTTGAGGTATCTTTGCCCATTCTTCCTTACAAAAGTCTTCCAGTTCTTTGAGATTTCTGGGCTGTCTGTCACGCACTGCTCTTTTAAGGTCTATCCATAGATTTTCAATTATGTTGAGGTCAGGAGATTGTGAAGGCCATGGCAAAACCTTCAGTTTACGCCTCTTGATGTAATCCCCCGTGGATTTCGAGGTGTGTTTAGGATCATTATCCATTTGTAGAAGCCATCCTCTCTTTAACTTTAGCTTTTTCACAGATGGCATCAAGTTACCATCCAAAATTTGCTGAAATTTTATTGAATCCATTTTTCCTTCTACTTGTGAGATGCTCCCTGTGCCACTGGCTGCAACACAACCCCAAAGCATGATTGATCCAACCCCATGCTTAACAGTTGGACAGAGGTTCTTTTCATTAAATTCTGTGCCCCTTCTTCTCCAAACGTACCTTTGCTCATTCCGGCCAAAAAGTTCAATTTTAACCTTATCGGTCCACAGAACTTGTTTCCAAAATGCATCAGGCTTGTCTATATGTTCATTTGCAAAGTTCAAACGATGATTTTTGTGGTGAGGACGTAGAAGAGGTTTTCCTCTGATGACTCTTCCATGAAGACCATATTTGTACAAGTATCTCTTTATAGTGGAATAGTGTACCACAACTCCAGTGTCTGCCAGATCTTTCTGGAGGGATCGTGCAGTCAAACGTGGGTTTTGAATTGTTTTTCTCACAATCCTGCGAGCTGTTCTGTCTGATAATGTACAAAATCTACTTGCGCTCTTATGTTAAATGATCAATGAATACGCACATATAGCTGCTAACATCTGATCCTGTACCAATAGATCTGATGAAGTATACAAAATGAAGCAAAAAATGATGTAGCGCTAAACAAGAAATAAATAAATGATCTATTAAAATAAATAAATCATACTAAGCACATGGTCAGTATAACAAAGTAACACACTCCTTAACATGTGAAAGGAAAAATTAGTGCGTAATGGAACTAGATAAGTGAGATCTAAAACACATGTGAAACCCCTGCACACAGTGCACATATAAAAAAGTCCAGTGATCCGTATCACATTCCTTCCGCTCATGCAAAATCAATGGACTGTGTATGATCCCACACACCCCGAAGTGCAATCCAAACCGGCTGAAATGGCCTCTCACCTCCTATCTGCGACCCTGCAGGGCCACAGAGCATGTAATATCACCACTGGATCAAGATAACCTTTCTCTTGGGTAGATGACTTGAAGATATGTCCCCAGTACACTGATTCCACCTCTCCTATAATATCCTTAATGGTCAGATGAGCAGGATGGATCCCAACTCAGATCCCAATAGGATAGAAGAAGAAGACATCCTCCATAGTGTAAAACTGCTTTAATTTTGCTTAAAACGTATTTTTTGCTCCATAAGACGCAGCTGACCATAAGACGCACCAAGATTCTACTACTTAAGTAGATGGAAATAAAATCTAACTTTTGTTGACATATTATAAGAATGTCTAATCTGTAATTTGATGCCTTTTGGAGATTTTTCCATCTTTCCTTGGCTTCTTTATGCACATTAATACAAATTTTTAGCTGGTGTGCCCAAACTTTCGATCCCCACTGTACCTACCTAAGCCCAATCTCGATTCAGCAAAATGCACAAGAGCAGTGCCTGTCCCAGCTCTTTCTATCCTCATTGGCTCAGACACAGCAGCAGGTGCCATTGGCTCCTGCTGCTGTCAATCCCAGACAGTGAGGAGGGGATGAGCCCCACTCTTGTGTGTCAATGGACACACAGAGTGGGGCTCGGGGACGAGCAGGCATGAGTGCCCCTATAGCAAGCAGCTTGCTATAGGGGCACTCGACATAAGGGAGGAGCACTGGCAAGGTGCCCAAGAAGAGGAGAATCGGGGCCTCTCTGTACAAAACCATTGCACAGAACAGGTAAGTATAACCTTTTTGTTATTTTTAAAAATGTTCCTTTAATATCACTTTAATAATAATAATTTGTAATGTAATACATTTGTAATACTGTATACTGGGAAGCCATATTTGCATAGGACATGTACAGGTTCTTCTTCTGCCTTAGGCCTCATTTACATGGGCGCTGAGGGCCGTAGTCTATGAATAGGCCACTTGTTTATGCGGCTTGAGCCGCCAGGTGCTGCATGTAAGCAGTCCATTCAAGTATATAAGGATGCAGCAGCTGTACAGACACAGCAGCTCATCCCATTTTGATGCTGCTTAAGCTGTGTAAACAAGGCGCTCAATTACGGACTACAACTGTCAGCACCTGTCTGAATGAGGCCTTGTATGCATGTTATCAACAATCATTCATTTTCATGCACTGCCATTGTCAGTGACAGGACCTATAATATGTGTAGATGCTTTAAAAATTGGACAGCGCACGACACTGCATTGCACAGATGTGAACTAGAACTTAAGGCTTGCCATACACTATACAATTTTCTGTCCAATTTCTGCCCAATTTCTGCTAGATTTACCTTCAACTATGTGTGCAAAGGCCGGCCTAATTGGATACAGTTGAAAGTGTTGTTTAGGTTTGACCTCATATTCTATGGTTTTTGGTAAATCTAAAGCAAAATTCTCAATAAAATTGTATAGTGTATGGCCAGGCTAAACAATGGATAACCTAGATACATGCATTGTTGTTCAATGAAATATACACTATATTGCCAAAAGTATTGGGACATCCCTCCAGATCATTGGTATCAGGTGTTCCAATCACCTCCATGGCCACAGGTGTATAAAATCAGGCAACTAGGCATGCAGACTACTTCTACAAACATTTTTGAAAGAATGGGTCACTCTCAGAAGCTCAGTGAATTCAAGCGTGGTACCATGATAGGTTGTCATCTGTGCAATAAGTCCATCCGTGAAATTCCCTTGCTACTAAATTTTCCACAGTCAACTGTTAGTGGTATTATAAGAAAGTGGAAGCAACTGGG